GATCTAATAGAGTATGAGACTTCTGATTGCCTAAAAGAATCAAGTTGATAATACTGAGTTCGACATCAAAACCTCTATGTTTTCTTTGCATTTTATGTTTTCATTTATTGTTATTTCCTTGAATTTATTTTATATTATTTTATGTTTAAAACATGATTTTTGTCCATATAAGAAATGGCCGAGGACAAGAACATATTTGTGGTGGATAGTGGAGCCACACAAAAGATAAGAGATATTTTCCTAAATCTCATAATGAAAAAATGCCAATATTAGCACTATAGCGGGTATAGCAAATCTTATTGAGGGCTATGGCCAAGCCCATATTCTATTACCAAATGGCACGCATCTTGAACTAAGAGATGCCTTATATTCATCCAGTTTCAAAGCAATAAGATTGAATGGTTTCCATATTGAAACAAAGGGTGAAGGGAACAAAGAATTCCTAAATATAATTGAGATCACCAAAGGACATAAGAAAGTCCTAGAGCCTATACCCGCATTATCCACTGGTCTCTACTATGCTAAAATCGATATGATCGAAACTAATATGGCAATGAACAAAGAGTTCATCGAGAAATTCACTTTATGGCATGACCGGCTTGGCCATCCGGGTCATAGTATGATGCGTAAACTAATAACTAATTCAAAGGGGCACACCCTAAAAGAGAAAAGAGTTATCCCTAAGAATCTCACGTGTGAAGCATGTTCACAAGGGAAACTCATTATAAGGCCATCACCGGCTAAGGTAAATATAGAAACCTTAAACTTTCTGGAAAGGATACAACGAGATATATGTAGACCAATACACCCACCATGTGGGACATTTAGATATTACATGGTCCTCATTGATGCATCGACAAGATGGTCGCATGTTTGTTTATTATCCTCTAGAAACCAAGCGTTTGCTAGGTTGTTGGCCCAGATCATAAGACTGAGAGTCCATTTTCCAGATTTTCCGCTTAAGACTATACGTCTAGATAATGCCGGTGAATTAACGTCCCAAGCATTTAATGACTAATGTATATCCATGGGGGTAAGTGTGGAACATCTCGTGGCACATGTACATACACAGAATGGATTAGCGGAATCCTTCATTAAACGAATTCAATTGATAGTTCGACCATTACTCATGAGGTCGAAGCTTCCAGTAGCCGCTTGGGGACACGCTGTTTTACATGCATCAGAGCTTATACGCATAAGGCCATCTAGTGAACATAAATATTCACCATCCCAATTACTCATGGGTCATGAGCCAGACATATCCCATCTAAAGACTTTCGGGTGTGCCGTATATGTACCGATTGCTCCACCACATAGAACAAAGATGGGACCTAAAAGGAGGATGGGAATATATGTTGGATTTGATTCTCCTACCATTATTAAGTATCTAGAGCCAACTACGGGTGATCTATTTAAGGCTAGATACGCGGATTGTCATTTTAATGAATCCGAATTTCCTACTTTAGGTGGAGAGACAAACAAGCTGGTCAAAGAAATATCATGGAATCAAACATCCTTAAATTGGCAAGATCCTCGGACTTTGATGTGTGATTCAGAGGTCCATAAGATAATAAATTTGCAAAAGCTAGCTAATGAATTGCCAGATTCCTTTGATGACCCAAAGAGAGTTATAAAAGCGTACATACCAGCTTGTAATGCACCAGTACGTATTGATGTTCACAAGGAACACAATCAAGTTGCTACAGAGTCTAGACAACGTAAGAAACGTGGTAGACCAATAAGTTCCAATGATAAAAACCCTCGGAAATTAAATAAAGGTGCAATAGGAATCCGAGGTTACTAAGGAAACCATCCTAGACATGGAGATAAGGCCGGCCGGCTCTAAGGTACAGGTACCATATAATGTAGCTTGGGACGCCAAGCTGCAAAGTATTAAAGGTCCTGACCATAATAAATCTCAAATCGATTATATCATGTCTGGAACATAATGGAACATATAAGAAATGTCGACATAAGATGATTTTGCATGCAAGGTAGCACTTGAATTTATGAATATAAATGAGGATCAGGAGTCCACGTCTATACTAGAGTTTACTCAAAGACTTGATTGATTAAATGGTACAAGACCATAAAACGTGGAGCTAAGAATCATTAAGAAAAGGAATGAGTTTGGTCCGACCTTAAGGACACCATTCGATGTAAAAACCAGTAGGACACAAATGGGTCTTTGTGAAGAAGAGAAATGAGAATAATGAAATCGTGAGATATAAGGCACGACTTATAGCACAAGGATTCTCACAAAGACCGGGGATAGATTATGAAGAAACATACTCCCCTGTGGTGGATGCTATGTCTGGCTATATAAAGAAAAAGATTTGATTTGCGGCTAATGGATGTAATGCCTGCATATTTATATAAGTTCACTGGATAATATATGAGATTACCAGAGGGTATTGAGCTCAAAGATAAGAAAGATTCTCGAGAATATCACTGCATAAGGCTGGACAAATCCTTTCATGGACTTAGACCAAATGGGCGTATGGAATGTTATAAATGATCCCATTAGTCCATGCATTTTCATAAAGATGTTTGCAAACAAAGGATTTGTAATCATAGTAGTGTATATGAATAATTTAAACCTCTGGGTAATCGACCAAACAGTTGAGTATATCTAAAAGAAAGACCTAGACAATAATTAAGTTCTGTTTGAGATTACAACATGAGTACATGAATAATGGAATCCTTCTGCATCAAAAGGCATATACTGAAAAGTACTCAAGGATATTTAATAAGGACCAGGCCCGCCCATTGACCAGGCCCAATGGTGGTGAGAAGCCTTGGATTGGATAGTGATCCATTCGGTCCAAAGAAGGACGAGGAAGAAGTTCTCGGTCCTAAACTGCCATACCTCAGTGCCATATGAACATTAATGTACTTGGCTAGCCACACTAGACCAGACATATGTTTTACCGTGAACCTCCTTTGTCTAAATTTAGTTCATGATCAACCCAAAGGCACTAGAAAAGTTTGAAGGAAGGTTTGGTTAAATTTTAAAGTTTATTCTTCCTACTTTGTTTATTTGGGTTTATTCTATACTGATCTAACCAAAGAAGGTCTAGTTTGCTTTGGTTTAGTTTGTTTTGCTGATGCAGGTAAGATCAAATTATGGCATGGTCAATAAATAGGAACTACGTGTGGCTTGATCCCTTCCAAGGGTACGTAGGCAGCCTTCTTCAAGGCGCAACTACTACAACATCAAAGACCATCATATGTGAAGACAACGTAACCATGTATCGCTCAGCTCAAGGACGGCTACATCAAGGGAGATCGGACAAAGCACATTCTACCTAAGTTCTTCTTCACGCATGACCTACAAAAGGATGGTGAAGTTCAAGTGGTGCAAGTTCGTTCAAGCAACAACTCAGCCGATCTCTTCACTAAAGCACTACCGACAACAACATTGAGGAAGCTCATGCATCAAATTGGAATGCGGAGACTTAAGAACTTGCAGGGATGACCAAAACAGGGGGAGTAATGCGTGCTGTACTCTTTTTCCTTCACCGTGATTTTGTCCCAATGGATTTTCCTGGTAAGGTTTTAATGAGGCAGCATCCCCAAGCGCATTACAAAGATCCTTTGGCATCTACACGGTTATGTCATCCAAGGGGGAGTGTTGTAAACCACATTACGGATGGACTCCATAACCGTGGCTCATGTCCATGTTCTAGAAGGCCCATGTCTATCTTCTAGAAGATTCGCCCAATGACGGTTTATGTTAGTCTTTGTGGGCTTTGGGCTTTAGGGTTTCCTAGTCCAATTGGGATTTGTCTCCCTTATTGTGTATATATATAAGTTGTAACATCATTCATTAATAAGAGAAAACACGAGATTCATGACACTTTAAACATATTTTTTTCATAATATTTTTGACGATTATTAAAAATCATCATACCGGATTCTGACATCCACCATGATCAAAATCATTTATTGTAAATATTTGTAGTCCGAGATATCGTTTTCTTGAATCAAAGTTTTAGTATGTGAATTATGAAATAATTAAAAATAATAATGTGTGTCCAGACATAATTGATGTTAAATCACGACCAAAGTAACTAATTGACCCTAGAAACTTCTCAAATTATTCAATCAGAGATGATCATATTCATAAAGTAAAAAGTGAAAGCAAATAAATAGGCAAAAACATAAATTAAATAAAGCTAGTTCTGTTCTGTGGCTTGAAAAGGGAGAAGAAAAAAAACTGTTGGTTGAAATTATTGATTTGTTATCAAAACGTACGTATGGTCACTGCTTTATCAAAATTCAAAAATAATCATTTTCTTTACTACATCATAGATTGACATGCATGCAGATCCGTGATAGTATGAACTCAGACATGAAAACATTCATCAACTACAAAATTTAGAATTTGTTTAGTCATTTCTAATATATAGGACCACTCATGCATGTTTACCCAAAGTAAGTAATAACCCCACTTTTTGGCTTTTGCTTTAACCACAAAGGCACAAACCATCACGTACGCTTTTGGTTTGTGGTCACTGCTTCGGCTGCTGCCTTATTTTTGTCATCTACAGTCACTCTGACTCACTCACAAGGTCCACAATTATTCACGACTCTTTGACAACGACGTTTCTAACCCTCGTGATTAATTAATGATATCGCTAGGACAATGTTTCACCATCAAAATTTAAACATATAAACAAGGCAAGTGGTGGTGTAGTACGTATCAGATTTCAGTCTTACTAAAAGAAGTTGAATCCTTCATTCTTAGTTCATTTTTTTTTTCTTAGTTCAATTTTTTTGTTTAGTCCAATCGTTTAATGATCCATGGTCCAATGTTATTTATAGATCGCTAATTTGATCTTAGGCTTCGAAAGGAAACAGAACTGCATGGTGCGGTGCAATTCCAACAGTAACAAAAATATATGCATATGTTTAGTTCAATCGTGTATGTTACTATTAGAATCGCACCGCATTTTATCTGTAGTTAAACCGTACGTCTCTATTGGAAGCCTTAAACTTCTTGGTTAAACAAACAAAAACGTTGAAACATAGACGTACTAGATAGACTAGAGTTGCATTCTCTTCTCTTTATTTACATGCATCTCTAGATTTATCGAAACCAAGTTTAAAATTGGTCGACAATTATTTTACCATCTCCAGTATAAAGTAGTCAATAATTTGTCATTGGAGGACCTACTTGGCCCCAGTTCAAGAAATGGTCGCTACTTTACCGTTAAACCTACTCACGCGCCATCACCAAACGTGACAGCACATCTTCGCCACGTGTCACCCAACAACCAAACAACAAATCGCGCGTGGCATCCACGCCTTTCTTAGTTACGAAACGATGTCGTTTGAACTGCAGTGTCCCACGACAACAACCGCTTCTTCTTCTTCTTCTTGCTCATCCTCGGGGGTCTTCGAGAGTATGTATGTCTTCACAGATTTAGAAAAGAAACTTGTCTTCACGTTAATCACGCCACGTGTATGGACCCAACTTCCAACGTGTCTCTCACATTCTCGAATTCACCACCTCACACGTGTGAACCAAACACGTGTGGCTTAGTGGCTCTCGTCCTCTCTGGGCTTTAGACTGGGCTCGAACCATCTCCATTCGCTGTGTATGAAATTCCATCGATAACTCCGAAAACCCGCCACGTGTCCTCCCTCCTCTGTTTCTCGTCTATATATCATCGCTCTTGTTCGTCCATTCGAGATCACACAACCACCAAACACAGAGCTTCAAGATACAAACATTTCTTATATACACAAAGAAAATGTTCATCGAGAGCTTTAAAGTAGAGAGCCCAAATGTCAAATACACAGAGAATGAGATTCATTCGGTGTACGATTACGAAACAACAGAGGTCGTCCATGAGAATCGTAACGGTACATATCAATGGATTGTGAAGCCAAAGTCTGTCAAATACGATTTCATAACAGAAACTCGTGTCCCCAAATTAGGGTAAATAAAAAATCCAAAAAGTTTGAATCTTTCACTTGTTTTCTGTAGTTTCAGATCAAGAATTCATATGGGTCGGTGTTAAAATTCACATTTTGAAACTTTTGTGTGGATAGGGTTATGCTTGTTGGTTGGGGAGGAAACAATGGATCAACACTAACCGCTGGTGTCATTGCTAACAAAGAGTGAGTAACAAAACAAACAAACACTTTTTTTATGGAATCTTTGATTTTGTTGTTTTGACATTAATTTTGTTGTAGAGGAATCTCGTGGGCGACTAAAGACAAAGTGCAACAAGCTAATTACTTTGGTTCACTAACTCAAGCTTCTTCGATTCGTGTTGGTTCTTACAATGGTGAAGAGATTTACGCTCCTTTCAAGAGTCTTCTTCCAATGGTGAATCCTGATGATGTTGTGTTTGGTGGTTGGGATATAAGTGACATGAATTTAGCTGATGCTATGGCTAGAGCTAGAGTTCTTGACATTGATTTGCAGAAACAACTTAGACCTTACATGGAGAACATGATCCCGCTTCCTGGTATCTATGACCCTGATTTCATTGCTGCGAATCAAGGGTCACGTGCTAATAGCGTGATCAAAGGTACCAAGAAGGAACAAGTTGATCACATCATCAAGGACATGAGGTATAATATATGACCTTACATAACAGAATTGTTAGTTAGTTAGTTAGTGTATTGATGTGTTGGAATATTTTTAGGGAGTTTAAGGAGAAGAACAAAGTGGATAAGTTGGTTGTGTTATGGACTGCAAATACAGAGCGTTATAGCAATGTGATTGTAGGGCTTAATGATACGATGGAGAATCTATTGGCTTCTGTTGAAAAGGACGAGTCTGAGATCTCGCCTTCTACTTTGTATGCTATTGCTTGTGTTCTTGAAGGTATCCCTTTCATCAATGGGAGTCCTCAGAATACTTTTGTCCCCGGTCTTATCGAGTTGGCTATATCGAAGAATTGTTTGATTGGTGGAGATGATTTCAAGAGTGGGCAGACTAAGATGAAATCCGTTTTGGTTGATTTCCTTGTTGGAGCTGGCATCAAGGTAATAGAAATAAAAGCTTGTTTATCAAGTGACCTAACTTTGGTTATTTTTTTGGTTAGTGAAAGAAACTAAGAATGGTTTTGTGGCAGCCTACTTCGATTGTGAGCTATAATCATTTGGGAAATAACGACGGGATGAACCTCTCAGCGCCGCAAACTTTCCGCTCTAAGGAGATTTCAAAGAGCAATGTTGTAGACGACATGGTAGCTAGTAATGGCATCCTCTTTGAGCCCGGTGAACACCCTGACCATGTCGTTGTCATCAAGGTTTGATTTGAATTAGAGGCCAGAGTCATCAATTCCTCCTTTCCTTTTAAGCACATTTTAAAGTCTTAAATCCTGCTATTGTTCTGGATGTTTTGCAGTATGTACCATATGTTGCGGATAGTAAAAGAGCAATGGACGAGTACACGTCTGAGATATTCATGGGAGGGAGAAACACAATTGTGATGCATAACACTTGTGAGGACTCTCTCTTGGCTGCTCCAATTATCTTGGATCTTGTTCTTCTCGCTGAACTCAGCACCAGGATTCAATTCAAAGCCGAAGGAGAGGTTTGTATTCCGTCAGTGAGTAACCAAGTAAAAACGGGATTCGCTTTAAACTGAGTGTTTTTTCATGTTTGAATCTTTTCTATTTCAGGGGAAGTTTCACTCTTTCCACCCGGTAGCTACCATACTCAGTTACCTCACAAAGGCACCTCTTGTACCGCCTGGAACACCGGTGGTTAACGCTCTGTCGAAACAGCGGGCGATGCTGGAAAACATACTCAGGGCCTGCGTGGGGCTTGCGCCAGAGAACAACATGATTATGGAGTACAAGTGAAGGATGAGGAAGAAGAAGTAAAGGTACCTAAGACCTTAGGATGTGAAGAAGACTGCTCCATTGTTTCCTTTATATATATTATATGAATGTGTGTGGGAGAGAGATAATATGGAGAAGCTTAGGGTTAATTTGTGTGATATGGATCTGGTCTGTTTATTTGGTGAGAAGATTTGGATCAAATGTGTAAAAGAATTAAGAGTAACTATGCTTGTGTCTCCTTGTAATATAACCAAATTTATGATCTATGAATATGGATTTTCAAAATCACAATTTCTGTATTTATATCTCATGAAGACAGCAATAAAGACAGAAAGGGCAAAATAATCTCGGAGAAGCTCATATAAATGTCGAAAACATAAGGGCAAAATAATCTCGGAGAAGCTCATATAAATGTCGAAAACATAAAGCTTGGTCTTGTCTAGTTTTTAGAATAACAGAAGAAGCATTAGGAGAATCAACATGTGGCAAGTGAGAGCGTTAATGGGTGAGATCAAGAACTACCAGCAGAAACCATCATGAACTCGCCTTCGCATACCAAAGCGCCACCAACATAAGCTTTACCTTCCATCTTAGCAAGCCCGAACCGTTTCTGGAACTTGAGAAGTGTCATTCTCATGACCAGCGTGTCTCCTGCAATCACTGGTTTGCGGAATCTCACTTTGTCAATACCGGCAAAGAAGAAGTTATCTTGAGAGCCTCCTACTTCCGGCTGCAGCATTACTATACCTCCCACTTGCGCCATTGCCTGCAATACGCAAACTCAAATTTTCAGTGAAATGGTTATCAAGAAATAACACTAATCTCTATCAAAGAAACAAACTTTTATCATCTATCAGGATTCAGAATCCTAAACCTATACCAAATGAGTAAGATCATAAACCTGCATTTTCCATTACGCAAACTTGGGATTTGAGTAGAGCTCAGATAGTTTCACATACTTTCAAGCAAGTTATTAGCATTGTTATCTTGAAGTCCATCAACTATAATATACTCATCACTGTACCAGAGATCAAAAGGACCATTCAGTTACCAATCTATCAGAATTCAGAATCAAAAACCAAACAGCAAACTAGCAGATCATTAACTTATGACCATTTTTAAAACCCATCCTCCACTAACTCTATAGAGAATCCTCAAACACTAGAGCATTTTGATATGTTACATTACCTCAATCATGAGAACACCAGGCATGATGGGTCGTTCAGGGAAATGTCCAGGGAAGAAATTATCATTGATTGTGACATTCTTAATAGCTACAGCTGAAACACCTGGCGTATACTCTATCACTCTATCTACCAGCAGAAACGGAAACCTGAAAATCCAACAAACATCAAACCCAAAAATAAAGATGAAAACTTTAAACATGGGTTTCATCGAAAACTCATCAAATCGTCGAAAGTTGAAGTCTTTTTATTTATTAACCTGTGAGGCAATATCTCTCTGATTTGGTTAATGTCCATTACCGTTGGAAATGCTGGGAATTCTGGAGATTAAGAGAACAGATTAGTGAGAGAATTTGAAAAAATGTCAGAAACCGAGAGATAAATCTTACTGAGTTCGATTGGAGTTTCCTTTTCCGATGAGGTGTTATCGCCATTTGTAGAACAACGAAGCGTGAGAGAATTGGATCGCTTGTTGGGTGGGAGAGAAACAGAGTGAGATCTGGAGGAAGGGAGATGCAGAGGCTGCTGCTGATGATGATGATGATGATGATGACTCAGTGAGTCAGAACTTAGGAAGAGTACCGAGTTGGAAGTAGTAGCCATTGTCGAGAGTTTAGAGAGAATGTGAGATGTTTGTTTTTGCAGGTGAAGAAGCGAGCGGAGAGTACAAAGGTTTGTTTTAGTTGAAGCAGGAGAGATAGTGACAAACTTCTGTTTTGTATATTTTAGCAAAATGGAAATTATATAACAAGATGGCCTATTAGCTCAGTTGGTTAGAGCGTCGTGCTAATAACGCGAAGGTCACAGGTTCGATCCCTGTATAGGCCATTTCTTTTTTTCTTGTAAACCTTTTTGGTTCTCTGTCATTGATAATGTGATAACTGATGATAAGTAGTGTGATCACCAAATAGTCCATTAGCTTACTGGGCCGCACAACCTACATGGGCCATTGATTTAATTTTTTATTTTCCTTTACATAGCCCATTTGCTATGTCATTTTGTAAGGTTTGTACTTTGTATTTCAAAAATAAATAAATAAGAATGTCCTACCAAACTTTGCTGGCAGCTGAGGCATTTGTAGCAGTAAATTAGGTCAGAGTTCATGGACATAAAAAGGCCTGTGATTTCAAACCGTTCGGTTCAATTTGGTTCGGTATTCCGGTTATCGATGTTTTGGTTGAGAGTCAAGGTTACCAAAATTAAACGAACACAAATTTGGTTCTGATTAGTTCGGTTAATAGTTAATTCGGTTTGTTTTTTTTTTGCTTAAATCCGTACCAATTTTGGTTTGGTTTGGTTTGGATAATGATTTTAAAAGGAAATTTGATATAATTTTTGTGAAATTCGGTTTAAATTGATTAGAATTTTTTTATAAAAAAAAAACAACAGAAAAAGATTAACCAAACCGAACCGCTAGCATGACTCATTTCAAAAAATTGCCTATCGAGTCATTTCTATTAACTAATCAAACCCCAAAAAAAATTTCGTTTCGGTTAATAATCTCATGTCTTAGTAAAGTTGTGCACTGTCAAAAGAGGAAGAGTGGGATAGTATAGCAGGATTTTGGAGTTGCATTTATGCACAACCAATGTATATGGAATTTGTTCACTTTGACTAATTTATAAAATAATCAAATATTAGCTGGATCCACAATATTAGGTCAGAGTTCATGAACTTCTTTGCATTGTTTTAGATTATCTTGACCATTAGGTGTGGTGAAAGAGTTGACATTTTAAGAAGTCAACTAGTGTCGATAAAATTAAATAACATAGCAAATGATATTTAAAATATAATGGTTATAGTTTTCTTGGTTGTAATGATTGTAAATGTCTAGTTGTCTACTAATTGTTGACAAGAAATATGTAGAATGTTTAATTCCTTATAATTGTTGACAAGAAAGATGTAGAATTTTTACCTCTTTGGTGAAAATTATTATGATGTGGTGTATATAAGTGTCAACACTATACACCACCACAATCCTAGTAAATTGTTATAACGTTAGAAAAATAGATTGATTTTTGTTTGTGGGTTAGGAATTAACCATGTTTACGAAAAGTTTGGAAGAGAAAAAAAAATGTAAATATATCCATTTTGGCGAAAAACAATTGTCATCTATTTCATTAGACAAATTAATGAATCCTCTATTTTGCATTGACCAAAACATTGTAGTCTTTTTTAGACAATAGTTTCCTCAAGAGTAATAATGTTAATGGGTATCTAATAAACCATCAAGGCATTAACTGAAAACGACCTCATTCTAACATAATTCACCAATTTGACATCAAAATCATAAACTTTTAAGTCAAGATCTTCTTCAAAATGAAGTTAAAACTTTAAGTACCAAAATTTGATTTGAAGAAAGTTGACTGAACAACCGCAAGAAGCGTAAATGTACTAAAACCATATGAATTTACTAACGAAGAATCAATATGTAACGTGAAACTTTACAAAGGAGAAATCTAGTGGAGTTTAGCAAACGAAATCGATTTTATGAATGGACCACATATTAAATTACATTAAAAATCTCATAATTTGTAAATTTAATACCTTATTTATTTGCCACACACCAACATTCACATGGATCATTTTCATTCAGAAAAAAAAACATTCACATGTATGATGTTATTAGTATTATAACCCATTCCATTTTGCTCTACCCCGTACTTTGAATGCATTTGTCCAAATAAAACTACAATTTTCATAATATAATAAGGTGCCATATTCCAAGAGTTATATCTGCCTTTCACTTGATGGTTAAATACTTCCATGGTTGGAAAGCAAATTGGCCTTTCAACGAATCCTAGAATCAACAATTCACTTGTTTTGCTTTTTAGCTCCTACAAAATTCTTTTTTTTTTTTTTTTTCGTCTGAATAATTAATGAAATATAACCAAGGGAGAAATACAAAGTTGGGATACATGGTGAAATACTAACGCCGGCGGGACTCTAACTCCCGGAAAACTAAGCCGGCGGGTACATGGAAACCCCCAGAGACAAAAGCCAAAAAATGAAGACATAAAAGAAGGAAAACCTTAAAGTACACGGAAATGCTAATATCTAAGACTCAAGCAACACAACTGCAAACTCTTCACGAAAAGAATCCGACGAACATTTCCATAGAACATTTTGGGCGCTGGAAAGTGGTTACAAACAGGAGCAACCAGAGGACCCATCATTAGATTGCCTTTACAAGAAGGCCCGAGAAGGATACAAAAACAAGCTCACACAACCACACCCCGAGCAGAAACGAGCACAGATAAAAGAGGATCAGAGCACAGATCCTAATCATCACTACCACACCAGAAACCAGAGAAGACAAGCAGCTCCTACAAAATTCTATATCTAAATAATATTTTTAGTAATTACTTAGTTATTTTCAGGGTATATATATTCTGAATATATAATTAAATAAAAGTTAAAAAAAAAAAATTAAATGTGGAAAGCATGTAGCTATAATAACTCCCCAACCAACCATGTGTTTTAATTTTCACCACTTTATCTTCAACCTTATCATCATATATATATTTTGAAAATTTCTAACAAACATACAATTTACCAAATAATTTTAGAATTAGACTGAATTTTGATCTAAAAGTATAGTTACCAAATAAAACCTATAGTTACATGATCAGGTCACTAAACAAATTTTAAAATTTCAACTTGTGGAAGTTGTGATTAATTTGATGGTAAGCTCGTTTTCCATCATACAGAAAAGTGGTTCAAAATTATTTCAATTATTCTCCAACATTTAATCATATATTACGTGTTAAACTTCAAAGTAAAACATGTCTACTAAATACAACCAAAAACCATATATTTTATTTCTCGGAAACGGCTAGATCCAAAGCACATGTAGACATGGCACTTTTCTACTGGTTTACTCCGGCCATGGAATAATAAAAAACAATTATACAGATTTTTTTTTTTTATATAAACTTTGATATATGTGAGAATTATTTCTTAAATATTGAGACGAATTCAATGGACTCAACACCTTTATAAGGCCGAGAGCTTCATTCAACAAACGAAAAAGAATTATTTCTTTGTTCATCCTCTTTTCTTTCATAAGCAACAAAGATATCTATTTCAATCCTCTCATGGAAACTGCTTCTCTTCCTTTCCCTGTCCCAAACACGAGCTTCGGTTTAAACCAACCTAAGCCTCTCGGTCTAAACCAGCTCACACCATACCAAATTCATCAGATTCAGAACCAGCTTAACCATAGACGTAGCACAACCTCAAAACTCTCTCCAAAACCAATCCGAATGAAGAACTTGTCACCTTCTTCCTCCAAAACCAAGAATCTCTACAGAGGCGTAAGACAAAGGCACTGGGGAAAATGGGTCGCTGAGATCCGCTTGCCTAAGAACCGGACCCGTCTCTGGCTCGGAACATTCGAAACTGCTGAAGAAGCCGCCATGGCTTATGACCAAGCTGCTTTTCAGCTCCGTGGAGATATCACCAAGCTTAACTTCCCAAACATCAGACACGAAGACATTAATCCTCTCCCTTCCTCTGTCGATGCAAAACTTCAAGCTATTTGCAAGAGTTTGAGAAAAACAGAGGAGAAGTACTCTGTTTCAGGTAAAACAGAGCATGTTCTGCCAAAAACAGAGCTTTTCCTGCCGAAAACAGAGCGTTTGGAGACAAAGGAGTTCTTCGATGAGTCACCGAAAAGCGATGAGAACTCGTCGCAGGCGGGATATTCATCGTCGGATATAACATTGCTGGATTTCTCGGATTCAGAGTTTGAAGAGATTGGGAGTTTCGGGCTTGTGAAGTTTCCTTCGGTGGAGATTGATTGGGATGCAATTAGCAAACTGTCAGATTCTTAAAGTCTTTTTATTTTATTTTACTTTTCTCTGCAACTTGAAATTTTAACAAGTTACAGAGGATTTTTTAGGTTTGAATCTGTCCTAGTTTTCTTTGTTGGTCGCTTTAGAGTTTTACTATATATGATCTCCATGTTTTGTCTGGCTTGGTAAGTTTTAAGGTCCTCGCCTTACACAAACCGGAGAAACTTTACGTATTCAAAAGCTACCATTATGTATTATATGTCATCTTCACATCTTCTTATTAGACTGAGATAAAAGTTTATGAAATGAAGTCTTGATTTGTTCTTTTAGTTCAAGTAATCGACTAAAGATCTTCTCTTGTTAATTGAGTAAAGTCGATCAAGACATTCTAAATTAGGGTAAAGATCTTCTCTTGTTTACTCTAATTTCCTTGAAACAAGAGAACATCTCTCGACTAGAGCGACCAAATTTTGGTTATCTCTTCACATGTATTTTCTTATATTTTTTGCTAGGATTTTATTTTCTTCTTCCCAGATATTTTAGCCTAAAATTTTTAGGCTTTGCAAATATTTTTTAGACTGTGATAAAAGGAACAATTCTTGGGTATATTATATAACACTTAAATAGAAATTAAAAATTAAACAAACAAATAATGTAAATTAAGAAAATAAATCACTAAGAAAAAGATTGATTTACTTAATAAAAAGATTGATTGATTGACCATGTGAGAGGAGATACGGCAGCGACGGTTGATGAGGCTAATTGTATTGCGTGATTGAGACATAAAAGTATATGTGACCGTCGCCCCAAAGGCAGTAACTATTTCATCACCATGGCTGATTAGCTTCTCTAGCTCTTATAGCCTTCTAGGGATAGTGTCACAACATCGCCATCGCCAAGGTCATTGTCTTTCTTGTTCCGACGTGCGTTGCAGCAGAGTACCTTGAAGACATGGGCAGGCATAGAGGAGAATGTGAAGGCAGCTCAAGAGGCGTTGTATATGAGGTGCAAGGCTAACTCCGAAGCCACACTCGGAACCTACAAGGGTGACGCTAAGCTTGTTGATGGAGCAGCTGGGAGCCTTCACGTGAAGCACTGAGGACATTCCATGGTTTGGGTTATGCCGTTATCATCTTCCTGGATATATTAATGTTAAAGCAAAAATTGAACAAGTCACAGAGAGACAACCAAACCAAATAATGATCCATATATATAATTAAGAGCCAAATCAACTCATCAAGTTTAAATCTAAAACAATTAACACCTTCTTCCTAAAGTCAATTTTAATAATTTTCACTTGACTCAAATCGATACGTAATGAAAACTAGCTTACAGGTTCTTAATTTAGAGTTCAAAATTACTCAGGGGAAAAGGATAAAGTTTGCAGCTAGAACAGTTCCAGAATAATGAAAGTTCTAAGGGTGTAGAAGTTAATGCTATCAATGGCCATGGAATGAAATTGCAAAACCTAAAGAAAAACGACGACTCCGTTAAGTAACTCAATGTTTTTGTTAAGAATTTGTTTTCTTAATTTAATTTATTTGTTTGTCTAATTTTTAATTTTTAATTAAGTATTATATGACATGACATAATGATTGGCTAAAACTAAAAGGGGTGAATATTTGGGTTCACCCCTAGGGGTGAACCCAAGAATTGTTCTGATAAAAGGAGGGAAGACATCAGCGTATTCATCATTCCACTAGCCATCTATTTCGTGCCATTGAAACGCTAATCCATAACAGAGTAAGCTTTTGGCGCTACTAAAAGTCTTCTTGGCCCAAAAACCTGATGGTTTCAGGCTCGTGAGCCGGCCCTAAGAATTTCAAGGCTACAATCAATATAAGTTAAAAAGGCTGATTAATTAGCAAAAAAAAAAATTAATGACAATTTCAGGTTAAAGAAATCAATTTCCCCACCTCTCTTACAAAGCATTTACAGATCAAAAAACTAATTATCCGGACGGAACGGAACAAATCACGAATACCACCAAAATCCAGGATATCCGCTTCATGTACACCCCTAATAAATAGTTGAGAAACTCATTCAAAAGTATCTTATATGAGAAATTCTTAAATAGCTTTTTCATTATTTGAGATATTCACTCAATCAAATATTAATATTTTTGTTCTTTTAATATTGAAATACCCCAATTGAGAACCCTCCAATAAAAATGCTCTCAATATCTTTCAATAATATAATGGGAATATTACTGATTTGGGCATTTTGTGGGCCAAAAATTTGAGAAATGGAACTATGTATCAGGCCTTATGGTTTTAGGCATTTATGGGCCAGAGAAAAAGACAGATTTGCCCCTCTGCTGTATCTTCTTCTTCATTCTTCGGACGACAACAAACCCTCAACTTTCTCTAAACCAAAAATTGCGATTCCTCTCCGCCAACATCATCTCCGATGAGTTCTATGGAATCAGTTAATTTCGTTTTTAATTAAGGAAACTAAACCCTAAGGGATAATATCTACTAAACCCAATGGCTTCAATTGAAAAGAAAGTGTGAGGAATCGACGGCCTGAGAAGGGAGTGGTGAGATTGCAGACCGAACACGATCACACGAACTTGAAAGTTCGAAATTCTCTGTCAATCTCCAAATCCCAATTAAAAAGGGGAAATTGAAAATCGAAGAGAAATTAAAAAATCACTTCTTCAAAAGCTTTTCTTTATCGGCATTCTTATTGAGCTAATTCGTTTGGGCGATCAGGTTGTGTAGTCGCAGGGAGAAGATCAGAGCATCATCGTTTCGTTGGCTTGGTCAAGAGAAAGAAAACAGAGACGAGAGAGACAATCAATTGTCTTATGTAATAAGGGTAAATGCGATAATTTGCTTTAATAAAGAATGCCTAAACCAGCAATACCTGACAAACATACCGGATCTGATAATTTTCCCTCGAATAAGTGCCGATCCGATAATTGATTCATAATATATAACGAACCTTATAGTGTCAAATTTTTCGATATCTACTTAAGTAATTAATAAATCGTCCCAAGTTATTGATTAATAAAATATGTTTAGGCTTAATGCAAGACACCTAGAAAAAGCATAACTCCAACACTAAGCTTACTAGTGTCCTACACATTAATCACAAAATATCTCCATCACCAACGGTTTCCGTTGGAACCGTTGAGTGCCTTTGATTTTTCAAAAAGCCATGATTACTTCAATTTTTGTTGTAATTTATATGGTTGTTGACTAGATTATTTTACATACTGTCATACTGATACTGCATTGCGTTTTCTAATGATAGAAATGAACACATTTGTTCTATATTTTGCAGAAGCTTGAATGTTATTTGGCATATTAACCCTGTAACGTTATATGTATCATGTATGTTGCATGTGTTCTTGACTCATGCATATGATGCTATACAAATATGTTTATTTGGAAAATTAACACTATAATTTATTGTTTGTTGTATTTTTGTTTGATCGTGTAGAAAAGTGATTATATCGATTGAAAATTTAGGAACATAAAGTCATTGTTTTAAGGATTAGCGACTTTTGGAGAAAGTGAAGAGTTATCTAAGACACTCTCCTTTTAAGCCATTCATAGATATGCCATTATTGTATGCAGACACTAGCTTTTGTTATTCAAAAGGAATTTATTTTTGGCAAATTTGCCCAATTTACTACTTTCTTCCTCTCTTTTTTTTTTGAACAGTTGGTGGGGTTTACTACATTTAAAAATTGACTTTAAAATTATGAAACTGCTATCATGTGAATTCATTCAAAGATTAAAAAAAACTCGAAAAGAAAACTGTTGTTCCAGCAATAACTTAAAAAAAAAAAAAAAAAAAAATTGTAAGTATATCATCAAAACTTAACAAAGTAATAATCAATTTATCTACAGTTACGAATGTGGCCTAACTTAACCCAAAAGTTAGCTCAAGAGTTAAGGATTGCTACATCCTTTATATACTACCCAAAGATCTTAATCCCAAGCAATGTGGGACATCCTAATAGGCCTCCTCGAGATGTGGGTGGGAAACGGTCCAACGGAAAACAGCCCAAGCCCAACATCTCGGAAATACAACAAGACATGCCACTTATATGGGCCACATAGGTGGGAAACCATTTTTGTGGGAATTTGCTTGTTGGGCCAACCTTGGACTCTGATATCATATTAGGAATGTGGCCTAACTTAACCCAAAAGCTTAGCTCAAGAGTTAAGGATTGCCACATCCTTTATATACTACCCAAAGATCTTAATTTTTGCAAAAATGCCCATTTTTCAATGCCACTTTTCAAAAATGCCCTTTCTTTAAAACCTTATAAAAAATGATCTTACAAATATAAGATTTACCCAAATATGTATGTAACATTATTAAAACATACACAAACTACATTTCTATGTATCTAAAATCTTATAAATACTTTATAAATACCTTAGAAATGCATTTTAAATACCTTTAAAAACCTTTAAAATATCTTGTAAAACTTTTGAAAAACCTTAAAAATCCTTTAAAATAACTTGTAAAACCTTTAAAAACACCTTATAAAACCTTATAAATACTTGGATCGAGTCTTCAAGTAGTAGTTACAATCCATAAGTACCTTATAAACCTAATAAAACTTTATAAAAATTTCAGATTTAAAAAGGGGCATTTTTTTAAATGGACATCTAAAAAAGGCATTTTTGAAAAGGGGCACACCAAAATGGGCATTTTTAACAATTTTCCTTTTTTTTTTTATAATAATCAGCATATATTTCTAGCTAGATGAATAAATTAAGTCATGCAAAGTCATTTCCCAATGTTTGCCCATCTCTATACTATTAAAAGAGAAGTACAAATGAAAATAGGTCGGATCAAAATCAGAAAATTGACCCGAAATTCTGAAATTGGATCTTTGAAATTTTTTTGGAATATAAATTGAATTAATAATGAAAAATCTAACTAAAATCAAATATTTATGGAAATCAAATAAAATATGATTGTACTTATGGTAACTAATTATAAAAGCATATTCCGAACAATACTATACATTAATTACGTATAATATATTTGTTCATATATTTTGGAACTAATTCCATAACAATCAACGTTTTTGTCATTAATTTTGCTTATTTTAGCCAAAGATATCTTACTTGCTTCTAAAGATTTCTAGAAAATTTATCACAACTAACCCATCTATTTTATAAATTAAATAGATTTTTTTATTTTGGTTGTGTAAATTAAATAGATATGGAATCCATGTAACTAATTTTAATTTAATTAGATTAAATCAAAATTATGGTATTTTTATACTCATAGTTTACCAAAGAAGTTTAATTTTAAAATTATAAATATTTCTTGAATATAATTTTTAGAATTATTCAACAAGATG